AGACATATATATATATAACATATATATACATATAATATATTCATTATATTCATATTTATATGATACATATATATATACATATAATACTTTAGATAGTTTTATACATATATATATATTTATAAACATAATATATTTATACATATAGATATTATAATATTATACATTATATAGATATATTTTTATACATATATATATATATACAGATATATTTACATATAATATAAACATATATAATATAATTAGAAAAACCAATTAGTTAAGTAAATTATATATAACTATATATATGACATAATATATATATAAACAAATATATATATATACATAGATATATATACATAGTATATATATATATATACATATAATATATATACATTGATATTTATATATAGATAGAAGATATACTTATATACATATACATATATATATAGTACAGTTATATAGACATAGATATATACATATATTTACATACATTATATATACCATATATATACATATATATATAGACATATATATATATACATATATTTATACATATTATAGAATATACATATTAGATACATATATTTATATATACTATATATATATTCAATATATATACATATATATATACATTATAGAACATATATATACATCTTTATAGATACATAATATATACAGATATATACATATATATACATATATATACATAGATATTATATACATATATATTATACATATATATTTATGTATATATAGTATATATATATGTATATTTAGATATATGTATATATATATATATATTATACGCTATAGATAAAGATATAGGAGATAATATATATTCAACAAGTCGCCGTCTCCCACCGAGGCGTGACCCAAAAAAGAAAGAAAATCCCCAAAAGAAAATACTTCCATCAGCAACCATACCCTCCCGGCCAGGATTGAACCCGCGGGGGTATGGTTTATTTGCAATCGTGTCATTACGATTTCTTAAGTCATACTTTCATCATCATTCAACACATCTCACCACAACGCGCACACATTATCACTGTGTTTGCAGAGTGATCAGAACACTACAGTTCAGAACTTAACGTAGAAAGATACCAACATATCCCTCCAAACTGCAATATCCCGAACCCTCCTTTAAGTGCAGCATTGTACTTCCCCATTCAGGACTCAAGTCCGCTATATAAAAATAACCGTTTCCCTGAAATCCCTTCACTAAAGATGACCCTGCGCACATGCGACTCCACAGATCATCAAGTCCCCTATACCATTCGTCTCCATTCACTCCTTTTAAACGCCCTCAACAGGAACTAGTCTGCCTATCGAACACGCTCATGCACGCCTGCTGAGAAGTTCCAAGCCCCTCGCCCACAAAACCCCCTTACCCCTTCCTTCCCAACTTTTCGAAATGACCCCTACCCTCCTTCCTTCTACTGATTTTTATGCTCTCCATGTTCTTTCTACTGTGAGCCATTCTTTCTAAATGACCAACACCACCTTCAAACCAAACCCTCTCAGCCCTCTGAATACTTTTATTAGCTCCACATACACCTTCGCCCAATTTCCTCCACACTCCTATGTTTCTGCCATAATATTTACACCACACACTGCCCTTAGACATGGACATCGCCACTGCCTCCAACCGCCTCCTCACTGCTGCATTCACAACCCAAGCTTCACACCCATATAAGAGTGTTGGTACTACTATACTTTCATACAATTCCCTCTTTGCCTCCATAGACAACGTATTTTGACTCCAAAAACTCAGATAGTGGATAAATAAAACTGTACTGTATGTGTAGTGTGACCTAAGTGTAATAGAAGAGCAAACGTACCTGAAATTTTGCATATTTTTGACAGACAAAATTACACATTTTTTCGTTTTATACTCACTTGGCAGGACAGTAGTACCTCCCCTGGGTGGTGCTGTCCTACCACCTACTACTGTTTTTCGTTACTTACATTTCCACTGCACGTTGAAGACTGAACACGGGGTTTAACTGTAGAAACAGCATCTCCTCACTTAGTGATGTACTACTCGTTTACTGATTGCCCTCGACCTAGGATGGGCTCTCGACCAGTATGCATATCTAAATAATGTATATTAGAGCTGATTTCCTCTATTCTGTTTATTTCAATATACAGTACACCACTGTATAAACATTTAAAAATATGCCAGAAATGTTATAAATGGTGGAAAGGTGACATTTAAACAATATCAAAGATGGGCGACACAAAAGCATTACCATTATAGTATGGTCTTCACTTAGCGACAAATTTGTTTAACGACGTGGTCTTAGGAACGGAACTCCGTCGTTAAGTGAGGAGAGGCTGTATGTACATAATTATATTAACACGGTCGAATTAGTTTGCAAAATTAGTTTTTGTGCTCCAAGTATAGAAAATCTTGCCAACCTACCTTATAAATTTCTTGTTCTAGGGGATCATCTGGGTCATCACCACAAGGGGCTAGGGACTGACAAGATTCCATTTTCATATGCATCTTTTTCACTGGTACCTGTACCTGTGAAGTCCAAAAATTATATTTTACAACTAGTGGCATTATGAGTTTTGAGTCTGAAATATTTGAGATTTAGTCAAAATATTTTAATTTTAGTGGTAAGCAATAGTCCCAAAAACTATAAATTATCAGCAATTTCGATTAAAAGTGAAAATCTACATATTTTTTTAGTGAAGGGAAATGAAGAAAGTACTTCAAACATATTCTGATAGAATCTTATGTATGGTGTAATATTATTATATACAATACAGGAGGTCCCCCAATGTGTCCAAGGGTATAAACTTTAAGAACATAAGAAAGGAAGAACATTGCAGTAGGCCTGTTGGCCCATACTTGGCAGGTCCTTTACAATACCAACCCACTTTCAGTGCTACTTTAACAATAAAGCTCTGACTTTTCTATTTACTCCCATGCTATCCACTCAAGTCCAACCCCCTCTCTTTCATATATTTCTCCTACCTATCATGAACCTAACCTTCAAGGTTCTAGCCTTCAATATCCTACTCGAGCAGACTGTTCCACTCAATGCTTCAACTTCCTCAAATGTCCAAAAGTTCACTTAAACTATTTCGTTCTAATGTGGCCCTTGGATTAACTTGTAGTAACTTGTAATATCGAATAAACAGAAAATATGGATGAAAGCTTGAACCGTGAAGAGCATCAGACCTCAATTACAGCTTGTGATTGGGAGCCCCGTGCATCCATGTTTCTGTTTTGTCTGTATGTGTTCACATCCTAAGGTGCAGACACCATGCCATTTTGCACACTGAAATTTACACTGATCACATGTTACAATCAGCCCATTTAGTAAGTCCCATGCATATAATAAAAGTTCATGAAGTTTGTCAGAGTCACGTGGGAATTTCTCCCGCTTTCATTAATGTGACATCCAGTGATATTCTTATGTCTTAATGTAACAAATATTTTTAAATGTATGTAAAATCCATTTTGTGGCATCACAGAAGAAATAACTTTTGTTTAAAACATCCAGAAGGCATGTGTGGGCATGTTAGATAAGAGTGAGTGGAGGCATCCACAGACATGATTACGGATGTTGTAAGGAGCATATGGTTTTTGGGACTTAATGAGCGGTTCATTTGAGTTTCACCAGCGGTGGAACACATTGAAAATGAGTCAGTTGAAGCCAATGAAAACATGGAATGCTGCAAAAAGGTGCTGTAATATCAGGGCCCGGCTGTTGTGCCGGGGCTTCTGCGGTATATGCGGAGTCTGTAATATGTTAAAGATTCTTGAATTCAATTCAATATGAATTACCTGTTTCTTCATCTAAGGAGTAACTCTGCCGTTTCTGCCAGTTTCACTGTGTTCCTTGTAATCCACGTTTGAACGTTCTTACATAAATCGTTAAATTAATGTCTCTACCTTCAGAAGTGCCGTCCTGCAAAATTTAAAAAATCGGGAAGTTTAAAGTCGAAAAATATATTTCACTTATGATATTTCAACTTTACGATAATGCAAAAACAATTACTTTGGAGATGAAACTTAAGATAATTACCCAGCATGAAGACGGCAAGTCCTGTAACTTGCATTCATTTACTGACTTTTCAATACTGGTATTTAGTTACAGTAATTATCTGTTAATTAACTTATTCAGTGCAATACTTATTTAATTACTATTTATCATATGACAACATATTCTGATATGTAGAGTTAAACTTATGACGGATTCAGTCTTATGCAATCAGTCTGTAAAATCTAAGAATTTACTGTTAACAAAAATAAAAAGTATATCTTACTTTCCAGGTTAAAGTGACTTTCACATAAGTTCAATTTCTTGCCCCTTTTTTTCGTGCCCTTTTCATGTGGCAAAGAATTTAGGCACAGAAACCATAATGTGATCTTGAAGTTCCCGTTGTCAATAAGGGGTTTTTTCTTGTTTTAATATCTCGTAGAGCAGTTGGATGGTCATCAATCACTTTTGTATGCACATGGGAGTGTTATCAGAGATGAAGTTGAAGTCCTTCTCAGGCATCTTCTTTCTTCTCGAGGGGATTATTGCATGGTAAACTCCAACAGTCTTTGAACTGCTCCTTCCAGTATGAATTCATGATGTATCTCCAGCGTGTCGTTTCCCTGAACATCCTTCCACGAGCACGTAACTGTTTTAGGTTTTTTAACAGTGATACTTTTCCTTTTAAACTGTAAAGCCATAAAAATTGCACATTAGAGTGTAAAGTAAACCATTGTGACCTGGGGCTTGGTAGGGCAAATGCTCCTCGCATCACACATGTCCGTGGTTCGTTCCTCACAAGGGTTCAAACAACGCCTGTTGTCCCCCGTTCACACTAGCAAGCAAATAGGTACCCCATTCACCTAGCAAGCAAATTGGTACCATGGGTGTTAAGTCGATTGGTGTGGTTGCAAATCCTGGGGACAAGATTGAGGACCCTAATGGAAATAAGACAGACAGTTCTTTGAATGATGCACTGACATTCTAGGGTTTATCCTGGGTGGCTAACCCTCCTGGGTTAAAAATCTGAACAAAAGCCTTATCTCTTAAATTTCATACTGTAATTGTTGTGACCTTCAAATAGTTAGATTTTGTTCAGAGATTTTAACTCTGGATGGGTTAGCCTCCCCGTATAACCTGGTAGGAGGGTTAGCCCACCCAGGATAACCAAGAAAGTCAGTGGGTTCATCGGGATTGTCGGTCTTATTTCCATTGTGATCCTTCAATCTTGTCCCCAGGATCCCACCTCACCTGTCACCTAACAGCCGTTCCTACTACTACTAGGTTACAGGACAGCAGGTGTAAAGGAAACAGGCCCAGTGTTTTCCTCGCACCCAAGGCCGTGATAGAACCCAGGACAACTCAGTGTGTGAGTAAAAGCGTTTGCCTCCCAGGCCAGGATAATATTATATTTATATATTATTATATATTTATATATTATAATATATATATATATATATATAAATATTATATATAATATATATATATATAATATATATGTTTATATAATTTGTATACATTATATGTATGTACATATATATGTATGTATATTATAGAGAGTATATAGTATGTATATAATATATATATATATATATATATAATATACATATGTATGTATGTATATATATATAGATATGTATGTGTGTATATATATATAGATATATATATATATATATAATTATTTGTAGGTAGTAGGTTGGTAGACCTGCAACCGCCCAGGAAGGTACTATCATCCTGCCAAGTGAGTGTAAAACGAAAGCCTGTAATGTTTTACATATGGTAGGATTGCTGGTGTCCTTTTTTTCTGTCTCATGACATGCAAGATTTCAGTTACGTCCCTTGCTACTCTCTACTTACACTTTGTTTTAAGTCTCACACTACACATACATTACTAGCATAATATACTCACCCCTCTGGTTTTCGTCTATTTTCTTTCTAATTCCTTATTCTTGGTTATTTCCTCTTATCTCCATGGGGAAGTGGAACAGAATTCTTCCCTCCTAAGCCATGCGTGTTGTAAAGGCGACGATAATGCCGGGAGCAAGGGCTAGTAACCCTTCTCCTTATATTTTTTATTTACTAAATGTAAAAGGAGAAACTTGCGTTGTTCCTTTTGGGGTTGGCCACCCCCGCCTCGGTGGGATACGGCCGTGTGTTGAAAGGAATGATATATATATATATATATATATATATTTAATATATATATAGATATATATATAATATATATATATATATATATATATCAATATATATATATATAAGTTAATATATAGGGATGTATATATGTATATATATTATGTATGTTATATATATATATATATATATAATATATATTATGTATATATATAATATATATATATAATATATATATATAATGTAAAATTTATATATATATAATGTAATATAAATATATATTATGTATATATATTATATAATGTGTATATAATATTATATATATATATAATATATATATATAATATATATATATATGTATATATAAATATATACATTATATATATATATATATATATATATATATATATAGATATACATATATATATATACATTATAATATAATATATAATATATCTATATATATACATTTATATATATATATATATATATATATAATAACCATTATATATATATAATATAATACACATTATATATTTATAGATATATATATATACATTTAATTAAAAATATATATATATATATTATATATATATATATATATATATATATATATATATGATATATACATTATATTATATATATATATACATTATTTATATATATATATATAAACTATATATATATATATCTATATATATATATATAAATATATATATAGATATATACATTATTATATATATTTATATAGTATAATAGATATTTATATATATATATATATATTTACATAGATATATAGACATTTTATTATATATATAATATATATATACATTATTTATATATATATATATATATATATATAGATATATATATATATATATATTATATATTACCCTGTAAATATATATATATACTATATATATATACACATTATATATAATATAACACATTATAAAAAAAATATATAACATTATATATTATATACATTATATATATATATATAAATGTATATATATATTTAATATAGGTATAATATATACTATATATATAGATGTATATGTTTATTTTGTTTATATATATTGTATATGTATATATATAGTATATGGTATAGTGATATATATATTATGTATATAATATAATGTTAAACATATAATATATATATATATATATATATTGGTTTATACTTTATTATTATTGATACATATATTTAAATACATAGATACATATACAGAATATATATACAGATACTTATATATATATTCATATATACATATACATTATATATATTTTTATATATATACATATTTTATTAATTTATATCAATTATATATATATATAAGTATATATATATATGTATATATATATAATGTGTATATTGATATATATAATGTGT